GCGGGCTGTGCTCTGGCCGATGTTGCCGCTGGCGCCTGCCTCCCTGAGCCCTCATCCCGGCCGGGTGACCGAGAGTTGCTCGCCAGGAACCGGTCACCCCGCGCCCTGGTTTCCCCATAAAACACGGGCAGTGCTGTCACCTACTCATGGGGTTCCTGGGAGGAAGAAACAAATGTAATTTGTGCGGAGTGCCTAAAACAGGGCGTGGCAGCTTTATCCGTGTTTACCCCTCTTAGGACTAGTCGCCTCCCTCCCCCCACACCCAGGGAAGACTGTAGGGACCGAGCTTGGTTGGAACCTGGTCCCCAGCCGTTCTTTCTGCAGTGACCCTGGTCAGAGCAGGGTGCAAGAAGTTGGATGGTTGGAGCCAGTGGCTGTTCCATAGAAGGAACTGGTTTGGCAGGTCAGGAGTCCAGAGCCTTCTGGGAACCTGCCCACTCCCTCCCCCTACCTGGTTATAAAATGAAAACAAACAAAGGAAGCCTCCTGGGGACTGGGTCAGGCATTTATCATCCACGGAAAGGCTTCGGGTGGTTGAAGCCAGAGGGCGGAGGATTTGAACCTGCGGGGGGCACGTGTGGGGCTTCCAGAAAGCACCTCCTCAGGGGTCAAGTTCCAGGGGCCCCTGCGGGCCCTGGCCGCTGTGAGAGGCTCTGCCTGCACCTTTGTCCCTAGAGCTCCCAGGTCGGTGCTATGGTAACACTTGTATTGTAGGTGGGAGGGCTGATGGATTTACTGAAGAATTTGAGATGTTCCAAGGGCTTCCCTGATAGCTCAGTTGGTAAAGAATCCGCCTGCTATGCAGGAGACTCCGGTCCGATTCCTAGATCGGGAAGATCTGCTGGAGAAGGGAAATACTACCCACTCCATTATTCTTGGGCTTCCCTTGTGGCTCAGCTGGTAAAGAATCCGCCCACAATGCAGGAGACCTGTGTTCTATCCCTGGGTTGGGAAGATCCCCTGGAGAAGGGGAAGACTACCCACTCCAGTATTCTGGCATGGAGGATTCCATGGACTGTATGGGGTAACAAAGAGTCGGACATGACTGAGCAGCTCTCACTTTCACTTTCATGAAATAGCAAGGAGAGATAAGAAAGCCTTCCTCAGTGATCAGTGCAAAGAAATAGGGGGAAACAGGAGAATGGGAAAGATTCGAGATCTTTTCAAAAATTACCAAGGGAACATTTCATGCAAAGATGGGCACAATAAAGGACAGAAATGATAAGGACCTAACAGAAGCAGAAGAGATTAAGAAGAGGCAAGAATACACAGAANAGCAGCAGTTAACTGGACATGGAACAACAGACTGGTTCCAAATTAGGAAAGGATATGTCAAAGCTGTATATTGTCACACCGCTTATTTAATTTACATGTGAAATGCCAGGCTGGATGAAGAACAAGCTGGAATCAAGACTGCTGGGATAAATATAAATAACCTCAGATATGCAGATGACACAACCCACAGAAAGCAACGAAGAACTAAAGAGCCTTTTGATGAAAGTGAAAAAGGAGAGTGAAAAAGTTGGCTTAAAACTCAACATTCAGAAAACTAAGATCATCATGGCATCTGGTCCCATCACTTCATGGCAAATAGATGAGGAAATAATGGAAACACTGAGAGACTTTATTTTCCTGGGATCCAAAATCACTGCAGATGGTGACTACAGCCATGAAATTAAAAGATGCTTATTCCTTGGAAGAAAAGCTATGACCAACCTAGACAGCATATTAAAAAGCGGACATTACTTTGCTGACAAAGGTCCATAGTCATGGACCATATTCATAGCCAAAGGTCCAGAGTCAAAGCTATGGTTTTTCCAGTAGTCATGTATGGATGTGAGAGTTGGACCGTAAGTTCTTTTATTTTTTATCAGGATCTCAATAAGGTTAATCTTGTCTTCTGATCACCATCTGACTTGCACAGCCCTGGTGACCATTACTGAGCACCTGCCTCTGGAGTGCCCAGCCTCTCAGAGTCATGGCTCACGTGGACTTTATTTGCTCCTCACTGTGGCACTGGTGGAGGGCAGGGATTGTGCCCATTTCACAGGTGGGGAAGTAGGGTCTGAGGGGGCCCCCTGATTGGAGTGAACCCATTCCCCTGACTCTTCCTCTGTGCTGCTTGCTCATAGTGCCAGCGCAGGGGCTGGGGGTCAACACTGCAGGGTACAGAGGGGTTTCTGGATGGGACACAGAGAGGGCAGAACCAGGTCCCTGGTTCTGGAAAGTACGGGTGGCCTGATCATCCCCCAGGACGTGGGGAGCTTTTCTCTCTGGCTTCATTGTTCTTGTCATTCAGTTGCTCAGTCGTGTCCAATTCTTTGTGACCTCGTGGACTGCAGCACTCCAGGCTTCCCTGCAATTCACCATCTCCCAGAGTTTATTCACACTCATGTCCATTGAGTCGGTGATGCCATCCAAGCATCTCATCCTCTATCATCCCCTTCTTCTCCTGCCTTCAAACTTTCGCAGCATCAGGATCTTTTCCAGTGAGTCGGCTCTTTACATCAGGTGGCCAAAGTATTGGAGCTTCAGCTTCAGCATCAGCCCTTGCAGTGAATATTCAGAGTTGATTTCCTTTAGGATTGACTGGTTTGATCTCCTTGCTGTCCAAGGGACTCTCAACAGTCTTCTCCAGCACCATAATTTGAAAGCATCAGTTCTTCAACACTCATCCTTCTTTTTGGTCCAACTCTCACATCTGTATACAACTATTGGAAAAACCATAGACTTGACTATATGGACCTTTGTCAGCAAAGTGATGTCTCTGCTTTTTAATACGCTGTCTACGTTTGTCATAGCTTCTCTTCCAAAGGGAAAGTCTTTATTTGACCTGGCTAAACTATAACCCGATCTTTCTATACAGAAGGATCTGAAGGTGGAGGGGAGGTTTATCCCTGTGGATCCCACCTCCAAGGGGACCAGTGAGGAGGCAGATTTGAATTCAGCCTGAATTATTGACTTGGACTTGAGCCAGTGGTCATAACAGGAACCATATGGATCACTCACTCCCTGCAGTTGCCGTGTGTTGCAGGGAGAGGGGACAGCACGTGCAAAGGCCCTGAGGCAGGAACAGCTTGGCCTGTCTGAGGCTCCAGCCTGAGGCCTGCACGACTGGAGCAGAGACAGCAGGGGTGGGGTGCAGAGGTGTGAGCTGCGCTCCTGAGGGCCGTGCAGGTGAGAGGCGCACAGCTGAGCGAGCCGCTGGGTACCACGGGCAGGGCCACAGGGGTGCTGGGGAGGGGAGCGGCCCGCAGCCTTGAGGTTGGTGTCTGCAAGAACCACAGGAGGGGGTGGGCGGTCCCAGCAGTGCTCAGCAGACCCCCACCCCCACCTTGTCTTTTCAGCCCAGCACCCCTGGGACTTGCGGGCAGGCCTCTGACCATGTCGTGCGACAGGTCACAGCTCGTGTGGACCTTGCTGTTGCCACCTTGGGTGTCTCACCCAGCTGTCAGGCCGGGTCCCAGTGGCTTCAGGCCCTGCTGCCTGCGAGAATCGTCTACACCTGCCTTCTCCCCAAAGTCTGGGACCCAGTGGTGTTTGTGATGAGCAGTGGCTCGTGGGGATCTGTATCCGTAAATCTGGGACATCGCTGAGACAAAAGGGTGAAAACTGCTCTTGATGGGGTGTACCCCGAGACCCTGGGGTCCCAGGTTAGTGGTGGCCCCCTTCTCAGCCCCTCCTCTCACACCTGGACTTGCACCCCTGCCTCGATGGGACCCTGCACCAGCCCCTTTCTCTCTGGGTACCCTCCCTGCAGACACAGGGTTAGAGCTGGATGTCCTCGAGCCCACTCCTGCCCTCCCCACAGAGCCTTTCATCAGCCCCCCACCATCCTGAGTGGAGAGCAGGGTTGTGCAAACATGGGGTGTCGGCTGTCACCCCACACATCCCCTGCGCCACTCAAATTAAATCTGGTGCTAATTTGCCCGAGGTGAGTAGGTGATAATTTGTAACTGCGGCATTAGGATAATTGCTGTGAGGGTCTATTTGTGTGATGTGCAAATACATTTTTATAGCAACAAGCCATTTTGCGTGAACTATGGTCAGAGCCTTCAGGTGCTCAGAAGCCTCTTTGGCATGCTGGTGCCCCTGGTCTGCCTCCGGCTGGCGCAGCCTCGCGATGCTGGTGGGGTCTTGGCACTCATGTCCCCCGGCCTCGGGCTGCGATGCCCGGCTCAGAGGGAAAGGGCTTGGCAGTGAGAGGCCCAGGGAGGAGATGAGGCGTGTGTGGACTCAGGTGCAGGGGAGGGAGGCCGGGGGTGATGGAGCTGGTGCTCTGACACGGAAAGGGTCCCTTTGTGAGGTTTGCTGTTCGGTCACCAAATCACATCCGACTCTTTGTNTTTCCCCATCTATTTGCCATGTAGTGATGGGACTGGATGCTGTGATCCTAGTTTTTTGAGTGCTGAGTTTTAAGCCAGCTTTTTCACTCTCCTGTGTCCCCTTCATCAAGAGGCTCTTTAGTTCCTCCTCACTTTCTGCCATTACCGGTATCATCTGCATATCTGAGGTTGTCAGTATTTCTCCCGGCAGTCTTGATTCCAGCTTGTGATTCATCCAGCCTGGCATTTCACATGACATACTCTGCATAGAAGTTAAATAAGCAGGGTGATAGAAGTTAAATAAGCAGGGTGACAGTGTACAGGCTCCTTTCCCGTTTCTGATTGTAAATGTTAATCATATCCACAAACACCTTCACAGCAACATCTAGGCTGGAGTTTGACCAAACAGCTGGGCACCATAGCCCAGCCAAGTTGACGTATAAAGCCACCCATCACAAGGCTGGTGCAGAACCCTCAGCTCCAGGGGCCTTCCCGATCCAGGAGAGCCACTTGGGGCTCCTGGGCCTGGAGAGCAGCTGTGCGGGGCTTGGTGGGAGGAGGACGCTGGCCTCCCTGAGGATCGCCTGGGCAGCGTGGGGCGGGGTTGTGGGGGGTCTTCCTTCCCCTGCCCTGGCCGTGTGTCTGTCCCACACAGGGTGGGGTCCCCCTGAGCACATGCAGCAGGCGGCCGAGACAGGCCCCCGGGCCCTGATCCAAGCCCATGGAGCAGCCCACAGCAGTAGGTGAGCCTTCTATTTCCCTCAGCTGCGGGCCTGCCGGGCCAGCTCACCCCGACGGTTACCCTCCCCCAGCCCTCCGTCACCACAACAAAGCACGGATTGTGTGGGACACGCTCAGGCCCCGGTGCGCAGACTTCAGAACGGACAACGCTGCCTGTGCTGTTTGAGATAGGCGCCCGGGTGAAGGTTTTGAGCTTGCAAAGGGAAAAGCAGGAGTGACAAGCACTCTGGGTGTTGCAGCAGAATCTGGAGGAAAAACAAAGTCTTCTTGGCCTTGGAGGGTTGGGGGCTTCAGGCTGTGCTCCCGGCTGGGCCGGAGCGCCCCCCACCCCACCGCGCGGGGGGCCGAGGGGGAGGCCTGGGGCCCCTTGGTGGCTCACCCTGGTGTCAGCGCCTCCCGCGAGGCTTTGAAGCTAGAATGTTCTGGATGTGTTTCCTCCCCTGGTGGGCAGGCCCCCAGGAAGCGGCCCCTGTGTTTCCAATCAGGCGCCCCCGTCCCCGGCTCCCGCCCGGTGCCCTCAGCTGGCTGCTCTCAAGCTGTTGGTAACAGGATGGGCTGCCGAGGCGGACACGCAGGGCTGGGAGCTCGGGTGCTCAGGGTGGGGTGCGGACAGGGTGCCCCCCTCCCATCTTCAAACCTCGGGAGGTGTCAGTGGAATGAGAGGGTGGCCCCGAGTCCCCCGCAGGGCCGGCTGCAGCCCCCATGCCCCTGTGCTGGGGACCAGGTTTGTAGCTCTCCAGGCTCCCGCTAGGGCTCCCAGCACACCGCCCGCCTGGGCGGGTCCAGGGCTGTGGGTCTAGACGACTGAGTTTCTTTTCTCACTTTCACTGCAGCTGGTGTGTGTGTGTGGGGGGGGGGTGCCCTGCCCGGCCTGGGTGCCCTGCCCTGCCTCACCCCCACTGCCCTCGCAGGCCCCCCAGCCTGGGGAAGGCAGGATTTGGAAGGTGGCCCTGTGCTCCTGACGTGGAGAAGGTGGGCGGGGGGCCCAGGTGGGGGCCTACTCTGCCTGGTGCTCTGTGCCCTGCATGATGCCAGGAGAAAACCCAATCCTGTGGGTACACTGCACCTGCAGCCCACCCCGCCTCCGGAGCCGTGGCCTCTGAAGAAGGCATGCAAGGCAGGCCCTGGGCAGGAGTGCAGCGGGGGGCTACGGGCAGAGGTGGTGGCAGGCCCAATCGCTGGTGTAAGTGTGGGCTCTTGGTGGGGCTGGTCTAGCATCTGGACTGCTGGTGTTAAAAGGGGTGTCACAGTGAGGGCCCCCCTCCCCAGAACTGCAGGCACAGAGGAGCCAGGACGTGTCGGGGGACGGGGCTTGTAGAAGGGTGTGCCGGTGACCGTGAGCCCTCACCCCTGTTCCTGGGGTCTCTGCCCCTCTTTCCCTCCCCTCCCCCTCTCTGCCTGTGCCCTGCCCAGGGTCTTCCACCCCCAGGCAGCCGGGCTTTTGCAACACCTCGGCCCAGAGAGGGCGGCACCCTTGGCAAAGCCACACAGCCATCTGTGCCGGCAGAGCGCCCCCCAGGGAGCAGCTGGCGGGGTTCACAGCGGCGGGGGGGGTGGCAGGGAGGAGGCCGGTTGAAACTGGACACCAGGAAACAGGCCCTGGTGACGTGGCCCCCAGATCGTGGAGAGCTCTCAGAAGGGAAACGCCAAAACCCCAGGCTCACCTGTGTCAGGAGAGAGAAACTCTGAGACAGGAGTCCTGGGAGGCGCCCTGTGTGACCTTGAGCCACTCTGCACCTCATGAGTCTCAGTTTTGCCCTCTGACAAATGGGATGATGGAGCCAGGCAAGGGCTTTCTCCCTCCTGCCCTCCTCCCGTCTCCAGCTGTTTTTAAGAAAATTGTTCCGAGTGCAGAAACATAAGAAAGCACATGCTTTTCCCCGTAATTTTGAAATTGGTGCCATCCGCTGTGGGCTTTCTCCGTCTGCCTTTCTCTGTCTCTTAGCTGAACTCCTGGAAGGTGATACAGCCCTCCTGCCTCCACTGCTGACTGTTTCAGCATCTGAGCGTAAAGACGTTCTCCGACCTCACCCGACACCATCCTCAGCCCTGAGACGCACCATTCGCACCGACAGCTCCCTTCACCGTCTGTGGACACGGGTCGTTTCCAGTTTGGGGCTGTTTTAGCCTGCAGCTCAGAACCCTCCAGCCTACGTCCTTTTTCACACAGATATACGCATTCTGCTGGGTGTGTGGAACTGTGGAGTTTGGGGCATACAGATTTTTTTTTTCATTTTAGATTAGATTGCAGTGTTTGGACACTGGCACCTGTCGCAGACCAGCATGGACTCTGACGTCTCCCCCAGAGTGGGCAGGTGCGGCCTCGCTGAGCTGGCTCTGCGGGGTCCCCCTGGGAAGGGGGCTGGCCTCCCCCTCCTTGCCCCCACCCGACCCTCTGCGCTCTGTATCTGTGGCCGGGGTCCTGAGGCCCTCAGCACTGCTCTTCAGGGGCTGGCTCCCTGATCTCCGCCTCACTTCTCCCATCTGTAAGATAAGGTGGAAAATGGCACTTAGCTACCAAGTGCGGATTTTTTTTTTAGAGAAGTCAAGGTTTAAAGCGTTTTTATATTCATAAAACCTATTATTTTAGTTCACATGACTTAACCTTATGTTAAGGGTAATACAGGCTTTTGCAAAAATGAAAAAGGGACAAATGTGGAAAATAAATGGATTTATAAATCCTAATTCTAGAACTCATTGAAACCAGCTATTTAAAAACAATGTCCTAGAGACTTCCCTGGCAGTCCAGGGGTTAGGACTTGCCAGTTACCCTCTGCGCTCTGTATCTGTGGCCGGGGTCCTGAGGCCCTCAGCACTGCTCTTCAGGGGCTGGCTCCCTGATCTCCGCCTCACTTCTCCCATCTGTAAGATAAGGTGGAAAATGGCACTTAGCTACCAAGTGCGGATTTTTTTTTCTTAAAGAAGTCAAGGTTTAAAGCGTTTTTATATTCATAAAACATTATTATTTTAGTTCACATGACTTAACCTTATGTTAAGGGTAATACAGGCTTTTGCAAAAATGAAAAAGGGACAAATGTGGGAAAGTAAATGGACTTATAAATCCTAATTCTAGAACTCATTGAAACCAGCTATTTAAAAACAATGTCCTAGAGACTTCCCTGGCAGTCCAGGGGTTAGGACTTGCCAGTTTTCACTGCCGGGATCCTGGTTCAATCCCTGGTCAGGGAACCTAAAATCCCATAAGCCGTGAGGCACGGCAAAATATAAATAAATATAGCAATGTTCTGTTTCTTTTCACTACTCAAAAACTAGACCAAACTCTGTGCCATTTTCACCTAGCATTGGTTCATTTTTAAAAACACCTTTACTAAGATGTAATTCACAAAATATATAATTTACCAGTTTATAGTTCTGTGACTTTTAGTGTAATTACAGATGTGGGCAGCCATCACCATGGTCAATTTTTGGACATTTTCTTTACCTCAAAAAGAGTCCATTCTGCTCTGCCATCACCTCCCTAATCTCTGCCCCCCACCCCACTTCCTAGCACCCAGCAATCTACTGTCTGTCTCTATGGATCTGCCTGCTCTAGACTTTTCTAGAATGAACTCATTCTGTGGACTCATGTCACCTTTTGTGGCCTGGCTTCTTTCATGCATGCTAAGTTGCTTCGGTCGTGTCCAGCTCTATGTGACCCTACGGACTGTAGCCCGCCAGGCTCCTCTGTCCATGGGGACTCTCCAGGCAAGACTACTGGAGTGGGTTGCCGGGCCCTCCTTTCACTTAGCATAATATTTTCAGGAGTCATCCATGTCGTAGCAGGTGTCCACACTTCATTCCTTTTTAGGTACCATAATATTTCATCGTTTGGATAGTAATGTAAAGATTTGCACAGGTTTTGAATCAGCATCCGGGGCACAGAATAACCAGGTGAAACTCTTAGCTGGCGGTGATTACCCCTGCGCCGCTCTGAGTGATCTTTGCCGGCCTCAGTCGCCCCCTCTGTAAAGTGGGTACAGGAGTGAGTGTGTGAATCTGCGAAGCAGTGGGGAAGAAGGAAAGATGCTGTTCTCTCTCCACATCCCTTCCCCCCTCCACTGCCCTCTGCCCTGCTCTCCTGGGACGTGGGGCTGTTGGGCAGGGGGTGCCCCGTCCACGTGCATTCATCAGTGGGCGGGACCTGCAGAGGAGGAGGTCGGATATAGGAGCCCAAACACGGGGTGGATGCCACCATCCAAGGGTCCAGCTCCCAGGACCTCACGTCGTTCCTCGAGGGGCAAGTTTCCCACGGGCCGGGGGTGAGAGGGTGCACTGGGCAGGCTGGTCGCCGAACACTAAAGAGACCTGAGGTCCAGGCGAATCGGAGGGGCTGCTTTTTCTTTGTCAAGGAGAGAAATTGAAGAGCAAGCAGGCCACGTGAAGGGCGCTCCTTTATTCCTCACGCTCGGCGCCCTTGCATTAAATGTTCGCCAATTCCATGTGNTGGGCACATAGTGGGTGCACAGCAGAGATGGGTGCATAGTGGGTGCACAGCAGAGATGGGCGTGTAGTGGGTCCACACTGAGTGGGTGCATAGTGGGTGCACAGCAGAGATGGGTGCATAGTGGGTGCACAGCAGAGGTAGGCATGTAGTGGGTGCACATTAAGTGGGCATGTGGTGGGTGCACAGTGAGTGGGCACATAGTGGGTGCACAGAGTGGGCACATAGTGGGTGCACAGCAAGGCGAGGTGCGCGTCCTGTTAAAAGGCTTCAGGCGGCTCCCTCACTGTCCTTCTTCCTGGGGAACGCAGTGACCTCCCCTAACCCTGCCGTCTGCTGCAGAGCTGCAGAGAGATGAGGAGGAGGCCGCCGCCCTTCGTGCCGTGAGAAGGCCCTCGGCGGCACCCTCCGTGGCACCCCCGGCTGGCCCGGATCCCGAGCTGAGCATGAACCACCCCTTCTATGACGTGGCCCGACACGGCATCCTGCAGGTGGCAGGTGAGTCCCCGCGGGGTGGCCAGAATCCCCTTTCACTCCCTCAGTAAAAGGTTAGCCACCTTAAAACTCAGATACGCCCCCACGTTGGTCCCGGGGAGGTCGCTGTGCCTTTATTATGCGTTTTAAACATCCTCCTCTCTCGGAGCTGGTGATGGATGGTGGAGGCATGTCACGGTTCACTGCACGGGACTCATTTCTTTCTGCAGAAATGGGGCTTCTCTGTCTCAGAGACCGTGAGCAATGTTCTGTTGTGAACCAGCAAGGGGAGAAGATGGGGTCGTGAATTAAACTGGTCCTTTGTAGAGTTTGCATTTTATTGATAGTTTTCATTTCCTCCCATATGACATCATTGTGAAGCCTGTTTTCCATACGTTAGCCTGTGTTGCTGACGAGCGGGAGGGCCTTGACTCATCCTGATGGGGGTGGTTAACGCAGATGCCTGGCAGCTGCTCAGTGGGCGGGAGCCTGGGGGTCCTGGGGATTCCTCAGGGCTGCGGGGGCTTCAGGGCTGTGACGGCCTCCTTCATAGAAGGGAACGTTAGGGGCAGAGGAGGCCGGCCTGGGGGTGCTGCCCCGGAAGCCAGCCAGCTGTGAGCAGGAGCTCAACTCTGACACTCACCTGGTGTCTCTGGACCCCGGTTTTTCTCACCTGCCAATGAAACAGCACTCCTGCATCCACCCACCATCCTTCCAGGCATGTGGTAATTAACCGGTCACCTTTATCAAGCACCTGCTGTGTGCCAGCTCAGCAAGGCTTTATTCCAATGATGGGTGCAGGTCTTCCTGTTCCCCCCGAAGTCAGGTCTCTTATCCCCATGTTGCCAAGGAGCAGAGAGGCTGGCCCAGGGCTGCCTGACTCCCCGGTGAATCTCCCCTCTTGCCTGGTTCTGACTTGTATCCTTTATAATAAAGCTGATTGAAATCTAGCACTTTCCAGAGTTCTGTGAGCCAATGAACAATCAGTTGTGAGGGGGGTAGTGGAAACCTTGGAATCTATAGGCAGCTGGACAGAAGTAGGGAGGCCTGGGGACCCCTGAGGCATAGCTGGTGTCTGAAGTGAGGGCCAGTCTGTGGAGGAAGCGCCCTCCTCACCTGGGAAGTCCCTGTGGAGATGGATGTGGCTGCTGGAGCCCTTGAAGGTTTTCAGAGAGGGGATCGCAGAGCTGAGCTAAGACCCCCAGCACCCTATCACTGACTGTCCTTTCCTCTCGATCGTGGACCATGGACCGTGGACCAGTGGGGACCATGTCTGGCCTTTTCTCTCTAGAGCTGGGCGCACAGTGAGCCCGCAGTGAGTGTGTTTTGGCCTGGCCTCCCGTTGACCAATCACTCAGCACGTCCCCAAGACTCTCCGCTTGGTCTGGTTCCTATACTGACATCTCCGCGTGAAGGTCGACCTTCTCTTTCAGCGCCAGGGGCATTAATTCCCTACTCCTCCAGTCGCCACACAAAACAGTTCACATCTTCAGGAGCAAAGTCGTCCCTTTCCTCCCTCTCGCAGGCGAGCACAGGCTCAGGTGAGTCGTGGAGCCTGGCCGCCACGATGCTAGAAACATTGTCTGGAAAACACTCTGTACCTCCAGGCACAGCCATCGAAGGGTTTGTGCCCAGACGGAAATGCCCGGCTGGCAAGGGAAGCAGATAAATGCCTGGGCCCCCGGCAGCCCTTTCAACAAGCGCCTTCTAAACAAACAGAAGCCATGACCAGAATTCTCAAGGAACCTGTGAAAAGGCCGCTGTCTTTGGCAACCAAAATGACTCTCGCGTTCTGAAGGTCAGAGTGGCTTGCAGGCTCCTGGGAGAAGCGGATGTGCCCTAAATGGCAAGCAGCCATCCTGGCCGGGCGTGAGAGCCTGATGCGCTGCCTTTGAGAGCTGGGGCGGGGTGGGCGGAGGAACGAAGATGCTCCACTGTGATTTCTTACTTTAAGTAAACATCTGACAGCAGCTGTAAATACTTGTTTACGGTGAGTTACAGTGAGTTCAGAGTCACGGACACTTCTGAAAGGGCACCTTTCTGTTTTCTGACAACCTTCCTGCGAGGCTTCCCAGGTGGTTCAGTGGTAAAGAATCCACCTGCCCAAGCAGGAGAGGCGGGTTTGATCCCCGAGTCGGGAAGATCCCCTGGAGGAGGAAAGGGCACTCCACACCCCCCCGTACTCTTGCCTGGAGGATCCCGTGGACAGAGGAGCCGGGCAGGCTACAGACCATGGGGTCGCGAAGAGGCAGACACGACTTGAGCACAGACGCACAGTCTTCCTGTAACCAGTCCTTCCGGCAGTCAGGAAATGACTGTGGGACCTCGTCTGAGAGCGTGTGCTCTGGGGCGCAGGGGGTGGTGANCCACCGTCCCTCCTGCGTAGGCGCCCCCCTCCCCGCAACGTGTGTCCGTCTCCCTGGGCAGGTGCCTCTCCGTCACTCTCAGCACAGAGTGGATGTTAAGGGTCAAAGGCTAACAGATCCCGACAGACTCTCGGGTCCCCCAGGGGGTGTCATCAGTTCCAGGGGACAGTCCCCCCCACAGGACCGATGCCTGAACCCCTCCAAGCCACGCAGGCGGCCCTCTGTGTCCGCTCGGGAGGCAGCCCCTCCCCACTACCCCTGACCTGCGGTGGCCTCGTCCTGCATCCTGTCCCTGCTCTCTGTGCGGCCGCACTGGCCCCGGGGGCCACCTCCCCGGCCGGGCCCCGAGAGCGTCGGGAGAGCTGGCGTGGTCCCCTTTGCAAAGCTCCCGCCCGGAGTCACCCCAGTGAGCAGGCAGCCTCAGGTCTGGTGAGAGGCTCCGTCTGGGGAGGAGAAAGCTGCATGCCGAGGCCACCGAGGCTGCTTGAGATCGAGCGAAGTGCCCTCCCGCCCAGCGGGTCCTGCTGGGGGCCGAGTCCCCGCCCAGGTTACACGGGCCCGTGTAACTTTCCTGGACACCATGTCCTGGGCATTTCCTGCTCAGCCATCAGATTCTCCTCTCCGGCCACGTGCCAATGGCTTGACTCACTTGGTCAAGCCCCGGCCCGGCGCTGGCGTCCCTGGGAATGTCTGTGTCCCCTTGTGAGGGACAGAGGAGCGAAGTCTGGCCCAGGGTGGGCTCGCCCACTGCTGGGACGGCTCGGCGGCCTGAACTCTGCCATCACTGCTTCCAGATCCACTTTTCTCTCAACCGAGAAAGCTCAGCCACAGCTCGAAGCTGCCACTGTGGCCTGGAGCCCCAAACTCCCAAGTGAACGAAGGCACAGTTGTATCGTAGACGTGTCTGGAAGCCTTTGGGCTGCTTGTTTCGTGAGAATTCCTGGGACCCCAGGCATCCGACTAGTTTGTTAAATGATCCTCCACCAGTTGCTGCAGATAGAATGGCCCCTGGGCTTTTTCAGGCTGTGTTTGCCAGGCTCCCAGGGAAGGCGGCTGTGGTCCCACCACCCACTCAGAGAAGCTGTGCCTGAATTCCTGGAGCACCGGGCCGGATTAATCATGGGCTGTGCTTCTAGATGATGAATGTCTCAGACTACTCGAGGTGCGAGAACCTGGCCAAACCAGCTGGACGTCGCGAGGCAGATTGCTGACGGGGTCAGGAGAGCTCCATCTGCAGCTCAAGTGCAGGTGGCTGGACGAGGGCTTTTCAGGCAGGTCACGTGCGCATGGCTGGGAGGAAGCACGCTCTGCAGCCTGGAGAGTGGCCGCGGGATTTGTAGAGCTTATCCTGTGGAGCACGGTCAAAGGACGGAAGTGGGTCTGCTTTCCAGTGAAAAGAAAACGTGTGTGTGCATGTTCAGTGGTGTCCAACTCTCTGTGGCCCTGTGGACTGTAGCCCGCCANTGCATGTTCAGTGGTGTCCAACTCTCTGTGGCCCTGTGGACTGTAGCCCGCCAGGCTCCTCTGTCCATGGGATTCTCCAGGCAAGAATACTGGAGTGGGTGGCCACTTCCTCCTCCAGGGGATCTTCCCGACCCAGGGGATCTAACCCACGTCCCTTCTTGCATTGGCAGATGGATTCTTTACCACTAGCACCACCTGGGAAGCCCAAGAGAAAGCATGCTAGGAGCGAATCTGAAAAGGAGGAATCGCTTGCTTCTAGACAGACAGCCGGACAGCAAGGAGTCTGAAGTGGAGGGGATGAGTCAGTCCTGGGTTTGAATCCCAGATCATCCACTGTGTCAGTTTCCTGTGGCCCTTGCAACAAATCACCGAACACTGAGTGGTGTAAAGCAGCACGTTGGTTCTCCCGCAGTCGCGGGGGCCGGGAGTCTGAAGGCACGGTGTCCCGTCAGCGGGCCGCAGGGCCCCGGGGGAGCTTCCCTCCAGCACGGTGTCCCGTCAGCGGGCCGCAGGGCCCCCGGGGGAGCTTCGCCTCCAGCACGGTGTCCCGTCAGCCGGCCGCAGGGCCCCCGGGGGAGCTTCGCCTCCAGCAGGGGAGCATTTCTTGCCTCTTGCAGCTTCGGCGATTTCACACCCCCCGGCCTGGTGGCCGCACTGCTCTCTGCCCTGCGTCTGTCTGCACGTGGCTGACTCCGCTCTATGACGTTCCCTCTTCTGAGCCATCTTACCAGGATATGAGAGGTTGCATTTAGTGCCCCCCGCCGACCCCTCACCCCCCACCCCCGGATAATCCACACAGTCAAAGGTGTTGGCAGTCAATAAAGCAGAAATGCATGTTTTTCTGGAACTCT